CCTGTTTTACCGACACCGATTATGTAAAGCGAAGCTCCTTCTTTTTATAAGAGGTGATCTGGCGAACGGCTGTACCGAAATTTGGACATCTACCGCAGAATTTCGATATAATAAGGGAGAGTGGTATCACCCATAAATGTCTAATTTTTCATAGCGTATATCTCTGGAAATATTTGTAGTAGTGTCCTGGAAATTGGTATAGAAATTTTAGGGCTACTGGAAAAGGGGGCGCTTTCCAAACATATTGAAACTTTTATCTAATCTGTAAATATATTTATACACCCAGAATACAGTGTTTTTTTCTTTTTCATAATAAATTTTTTTGTTAATTGTTTTTATAGAAATATGGTTCATTTTGAATCAAATGGGACACAATTTTGGGTATGCAGTTTTGTAATGATTTTTTAGAGTTTTTTTCGCTGATGATCTTGCGCATTTTCTCCGTATAACGAATGCGTAATATTTTTTTTTGTATAGGCAAAAATGCCGAAGAGTGTCAGTATGTAAAAGACTTATTCTAGTGGGTGGACTCCTCCTAAACGACCGAAACGATTTTAATGAAATTTTTTATGTGTTTGAATAGGTCCCTGTATAGTTTAAGCTCACAACTTAAAACGCCAGGTGGCGCTGGAGTCGAGTTATTACTCAAAATCGTATTTGTGTTCCGATTTGACTCATATTCGAGATATATATGTATTGGTAACGATAGGGGCAATACTATTGCAAAAAAAGATGCGCAAGGTGGTGCTGGAGCCGAGTTATTGCTAAACATCGTCAATTCGGGGGCAGCAGTCAAATTACCCCCGTTAAATCAACCATCTGTACCATTGCGGTCCTTGCCTTACGTTGACTAAACGGAATGTGGACCAATGATACTCACCAGTTTGGAAATTGCCGCCAACTATACTATACAGATTCAAGGACGATTCACCATCGAGCCGCGAGGACTTCTTTCCGGTATAACGCTTTCGTCAGGTTATTTAAGGCGGCAATGGAGGACAAGCCTTCTGTCGACCACAAAACCAAGCGTGAACGTGAATTGCTGGCGAAACGTTGGACCAAATGTTTAAATAAAAAAATTAATTTTGGGCGGGACGAAGTTTGCCGCGTCTGCTAGTATAAATATATTTTTTAGAATGTCGTTTATTTAATATTTGTTTTGAATAAGGTTATACTGTATGCGACGCGTAAAAGGTATTTAAATTATCTTTAAATTTGCATCAATACGTTTGTGGTCGGTAAAATGGCTTCCGAGTTATTATAAATATAAGAAATGTAAAAGTTAACCTTTTTATTGGCTTTAGTTTTTATTTGCGCCAAACAATCTTCGTATGGTTGAAATCAGCATGAAAAGTTCTATTTAGCTACGTTTTTTATTTTTTTATGGCTAAATAGTTGGTATTCTACACCACGGCTACTTCGGACTATTTCTGTCTAAATGCTGGATTAAGGGGAACAGGCTATATGTAAATAAGAAAAAGTAAACAAACAAATGTCAAATTAAACTCTAAGTTTATTAAACACCCAACGAGAACACTTGACAGTTGTTTATAAACATAAAACGTTAAAAAAGTCGTCTTCACTTAATAAATGTTTTTCTAAGTTACATTTAACCCAGCAAAGTCTTAATTATCCCGGAATCTGAGTGAGCACCTTAAATAATTTTGATGGCCCTAAACAGCCCCTTAATATTGCCTAATTCCTCAGCAATATTTATCCGTGTTCGACCAAAGTTTATAAAGTTGGTCGGCTACAGCGACGTCAAGCGATTTTTTCAATGTTTACTGGGCAATATTTTTAGCGATTTTTCAATGTTTAACGGGCAATATTTTCAAAGCACATAAAAATAAACCCAGATAAGCTGTAAAAAGTCTTCGCTGGATGGATTTTTTGCTAAGTTACAGTTAATTCAGCAAAGTCTTAATTATCTCCGAAAGTGAATGAGCGCCTATAATTATTTTGGTGACTCTAAGAAGCCCAAAAATAGCACGTAATTCCTCAATTATATTTTCGACCAAAGTTTAAGAGGTGGGCCAGCTAGCATGACGTCAAGCGGTTTTTCAATGTTTACTGTTTGAAGCACATAAAATGCACAAAAAAATAAGCCCAGTATTAAAGAGACTTCATTGAATAAATCTTTTGCTAAGTTACGGTTACTTAGCAAAGTCATAATTATTTACCAAATGGTTGGAGTAGAAAAAACGGAAAGTGGCCGAAAATAGCACATAATGAGCACAATAATACGAACAAATTTGTTCTTCATTTTTTCATTTCAGCGCCGCTAGCTTGATTGAGCTATCCGAAAGACATATTTGGGAAGTTTGTTTATCTGGTAGACTGAACTTATTCTAATTATCAAGCTTATTATTTGTATAATAATATCTCCAAAAACTTACATTTTAAGTTACACCTCTACATTATTAAACGTGCGATATCTAGATTAAGACCCTATTTCGTATTTTCATTAAATTTCTTTTAAAGATTCCGTAGAACAAGCTCGTGGACCTTCTCCACTTCAGGCAATATTTGAAAATACGAAAGGACCATTACCTAATCCAGGACATTTGCTGGCAATGAAGCATCCGTTTAACAGAGGCGTAAGATCCCCACTTTATATTCCCTTGTTTCCCTTAAACGGCCAGCGTAGGTGGTCTGAAGCCGCTGCTGGAGAGGTAATAGATGAAAACTCAACAGATGTCGAAAGTCAAATGAGACGATGGTCAATGCCTTGGGAAGCAGTTAAATCCGATCAGAACACAGTGACTTGGTATCAGACGCGGATAATGCCGATAAATAATATGAAAGTACTGAACCACAAAACACCGTGCTCTGACAGAAGTGTATCCAATACACCTGGTAAGCCTTTAAATTATTTTAGATATACATATGTACATATTATCAGCCCAATTACATAAGTATGTGCACTTGATAAATTCACCATCTGGTAATGTCCTTTTTTAGTCTCGAAATCCCGGGATCAAGCCCTCGGGATTCCGAGTTATAATTTAATTTACGATCAAATTAAAACGAAATTCAGACACTGCAATCGCATAAAAGAATTATAAAATTGCAACCCTACAAGTAATCAAACCATATATTACAATTTTAACCCTACTATTATTCTATGTTTTAATATATATAACAATATATCTATATGTATGTATATGTATGTATATATGTTATGACATACTAATATTAATACACAAATGTGTATATGAATAAGATCTATAAGTGTAAAGATGATCTGTTATTTTTTACTTTTTGTAAAAATGACAGCGACTGCAAAGTGAATGAATTTTGGTTCCTTATTTTTTTGTTTATTCGGTTTGTAATTAGATTTTTAAACTGATATAAAATAAAGACATTTATATTTTTTTTTTCTAGTATTCGCACTAAAGCAAGACAACAAAACTAGTTTAGAAGCATATTTAAACCAGTGTTTTAAAAACTTAAGTCGAAATAGTAAAAGCCATAAAATTTTTACTTCGCACTGCTTTAACTTATTGGCCCGTAGTCATAGTCCATGATAAAAGCCAACTTTAGTTAGTAAATTACTAAAAAGAAAAAGCCGACTTTATTTTTAGTCTTGTCATAGTCAGTTTAGTAAATGGTGCTAACTAATAATGACATTGTGCAGAAGTGGCAACGCTGTGAAAATAGTTGGGGGGAAAAATATCGAAAAGGAACGAATGAATATATTTTATCGAGGGATTTTTTTTTAAGTTGAGAATTTTAAAACAAAAGGCGATTTTGTTGTTAGAAATCATTAAAAATAGGTTTTAAAAGACATTTTATGTTTTTATACTAAGTAAAAGATGATAATTGATGTGAAATGTTGTACATGAAATGTTATGTTACTGTTTATTGATTAATACAGCACCCGTCTTCAGGATACACACATAAATCAGCTGATCTGTGTTTATTATTTATTTTCAATTGAGATGGAGGAGGAAGCAAGAGTAAGTAATTTTGTACTGTTTTTCTAGCGGTTGTTTTTCCTACAGGCAAGGAAACGCGAACAAAACTGGGCTGCATCCGAGAAAGACTGTTTGCGGGATTTGGTCAACGGGCACATCGATGTGATCGAAAACAGATAAAATGACCTCCGGGTGATTAAACGGAAGAAAGATGCCTGGGAAGCCATAACAATGGATGTGGTAGCCACAGGCTTTGATCGCGATGTGCCGAAGCTAAAGCAGCAGTGGATGCGCATGAAAGTAAACGCGAGGATAGCAGTCCCGCAAGTAAGGAGGGCGACTGTTGCGGCAAGAAATGTTGTCGATATACCAACGTTGGACGAAGGCGACATGCAATTCCAGTCGATGATAGCGTGTTATTTTGAAGAGGACACGATACTAGTCGGCAGCAACACTCCAACGGTGCCGACTAGCTCTTGCAACACAGACATTCTAGAATTTGAAGTACAAGAAGAAAGTAAATTGCCTCGCATTAGCGCTCTCCACCTCGGATCTACTCCCAAAGGACTCCTTAAGGAATTGCGACCCCTTCCAAGGAAAAATGCCTCCAAAACTGTCGTCATCAAGCAGAGACAGGATCAGATTGCAAAAGAATCTGGTCATGATGACGAGTTTAATGTACTGAGGGTGCAGCAGCTCAAGGTAGAAATTTCACATCAGGCTCGAATACACAAAGAGAGGAGGAGTTGATGGACCTGAAATACCAACTAATTCGCCTCGAAATAAGAAACGAGGAGGCCAAAATAAGCTATTGATAATAAGTGTAATGAATTAGTTAAGTTATCTGAACCAATTTTTGTGACGCGGTACCTGAAGTTTTAAAAGGCTGTTTTTTTAGATAGTTGTAGGTTTTATGAAATAAGGAAAGACTGAATTGATATTTTTATGTATACACTACTCGCAAGTTTGATATGAAGTACAAACTGAGCATGTTCATTTTGAAATAAATCTGTACGCATCAAGAATTTTTGGGTTTCAATTTAAATTAGTATAATAGTAGTCAGAAATATTTATTAATAAATGCAGTTCTTTATGCTCTCCCTGATGTGGTTTCTCTTTGAAGTGGTTTCTAGGGTGTCTCCGCTTTCTTCAATTGATACTCGGGTAGTAGTGGTATCCGCATCCAAAACTAAGAAAATATTTTTAATGTAGTTAATTTTGCAGGTTTTAATTCAAAGTATAGGACTCACATAAAAAGTTTCGTTCTTTGGTAATCTTATGAAGCACAGCAACAGCGATAACTAAATTTTTTGCTGAGGGTTGACTCAACCTCTCGAAAATTGAACGAAACTTACATTTGATCTGCCCATTCAGGCATTCTATTTTGGAACCTGTAGCAATGTGGCTCCTATTATATATAAAAAGAATCAATTGAAAACTCAGTATTTCAGGAAGCCTTTGTAAATTCTACCTTTCTTCGTTTTCTGTGGACGAATTTCTAACTGGAGTCAAAAGTACTGATGAATTAGGGTATCCTGCATCTCCGACTAGTACACCGTTATGTTCAGATTTGCTTTCCAACAAACGAGTTTTCTGATGGCAGTTGTCCCAAATTCGAGCGTCATGTCTGGAGACACGTGGCCTTGCAACGATGTCAAGAATCTTGCAATCTGCATCACAAACAATCTACGAAATGTGTGTACGTTTTTGTCGCATTTACTTATAACATAATGGCGTCTTTTTGGTTAGTTACCTAAACATTTAGAGAATAGTACCCCTTCCTATTCAGAAAATGGCCTGCCAAAGTTGGGACAATTTTTTTAAGGACATTTAATTTGCACGTGGGTGCAGTCGATGGCTCCGATTAGGATAGGAAACCGAGCTAATTGGTAAAATTTGTTTTTACCTCGCTCAGTTCATTTCTACTTGGGAATCGAACAAAGTGCGGCAGCAACATTGAAATCCTTTTACTTATTTCTTTTATTATCCTTCCAACAGTATTCTGGGATAAACCATGCAGATCAGCTATAATATAGTAATATGCATGAAATTTTATTTCTAAATTTTAGTTACACTCTATTAAACATACCAACGTCACATTGATGAACATTTCTTCTTAGGAATCTAAGAGTACAAAGTTCTTGAGTGCAAACTGGTGCCGGGAGGCCTCTTTTCCACAGTGACTTTGTCGAACCGATACCGAGAACAAAAATCACTGTCGTCTAATTCAAACGGATTTACTCTGTTTCTATAAATTTTTGGACGCCTAATTTTTGTAGCATCATCAATGATGCTGAAATCCCTTTCAAGTTTTTTCCGAAAAACACAACTTTTGAGCGATGAAATGTATATTTATCAGTATTTTGACAGTTTGCTAAATGGTTTAGTTACAGCTTTTCGTTGCTCTAACTTTAAATCCGACTCTAAGCGAAAAAGCCGGCTCTAACTCGACTATGCTAAGATAAAGTATACTTTACATTAAATTATGATCTAACTTATTTAGAGCCGACTTTAACCCGGATTTGCCCGGAATTGTTTTTCTTTCTGATTTTCTTAGCACTTTTAAACAAACTTTCACACTGATTTCAACACACTTTGTGAAGAATCGACCACTTATTTACATACACGCGGTTATTATGTGACGAAAAAATGAAATTTCAAAACAACCAGTCCATTTAGTTATTTTTTAATATTTTTTTTTTCAAATAGTGCAACGTTTACTGTTGGTGTAACCATATAGTTTCACTGGGCAACTTCTGAGACAAGAAAAAAGTCGCAGTCGAAGTAGAAGCAGAAACTTACTTTGTTTATACCTATGCAAGAACCGCATTAACAAAAAGCTGATTTGACTCAAGACATATTTCTTTCAAGTATTTATACCTCGGTCTTTATTGCGCACTCGATGAAGCCGTATTCAAAAGCGAACCAAATCTGCTGTTTTTATACGACATTTCTTTAATAACTAACTTGCGCAGTTGACCGAAATGGAAGCAAACAGTAATTCGAATTTATTATAACAACTACCAGACCCGGCAAACTTCGTCCCGCCCAAAATTTTTATATATTTTATTGAAACTTTTTGGTCCAACATTTTCACCAACAATTCACGTTTACGATTTTCATTGGCACATTTGTCTGCTAAGATTAAGGTTTGGTGGTCATTTGCCGCTTTAAATAACCTAAGGAAAGTGTTATATCCATTCTTGAAATTCTCCAGTTGTGCGGCATTTCATAGCTCGGTTATTCGCAAAGCGAAATAAATTTTTTCCTCTTCACTCCCTGGCGGCAACAATGACCCGGTTCTATAGTGAATGTCCTAGAAACTTTACAGTATAGTAGGTGGCAATTTCAAAATGGGTTCGAATCATTGTTCTACAGAAATGCAATATACATATACTTATTTCAGACGAAATACCTTAAAAGTTTGAACGCATAATAATATTGGAAAATCACATCCATTGGGCCAATTGCAACGCAGGAGCGTTCGATATACTCAATAGTGCAACAGGTCGATTTAATCTGACCTTCACGGCCCCTTTTCTCACTTGGCTATTTTACAACGCTTTTATCAACTTGCAATGTTGTGTTCCAGAAACTTTCAATGTTGTGTGTCCGACACCATAAAGCAAAGCTTTGAAAAGCTCCTATAAAAAAGCATAGTGAATAGGGCGAGGTAGATGACATCTAGATGTCGCCCTATGTACTACGTTTGCTACACCGGAAATAGACGACACGCCATTTCTTTAAATAAAATTAATTGGTGCTCGTTTGTATGTACATATATATGTAAATGCAGTGACTATTGTCAACTAAATCGAATGCTTTGTAAGTGAAGTGACTTGTGGACCACTTGAGGTATAGGTGGACCAGTTGGTAACCACTTTGGGACCAGTTGCCAGCTTGTTCGTGGGACCAGTTGGTAACCAGTCGGGGACCAGTCCGGGAAGCAGTTGGGAACATGTTTGGCACTAGTCCGAAACTACTTACCTACGGACCAGTTGGGGAGCAGTTGGTCTTTTTAAGCTCCTGTGGCCGTTTTAAGGGTAATTCTTGGGCTCCTGCACTGCCGCTCGGGGTTTCTGCCTTCTACGGTGGTAATTTTGGGCCGGGTTGCCTGTTTTGGCGGATTGTTGTGCTGTGTGCCGCGTATTACGTGTACCGGGTACCGCTTTCTCGAGCGAATTGCTCTGGGGAACCTGTTGTGTGAGTTGCTGGCTTTTTGGCTAGACTTTGAGGAGGGTTTATACACGCATATCGGCGGTTGTTTTGGCTCGCGAGTGTGTTGGTGTAGGTACTACATCGCTCGATCCATATCCCGATACGGGGACACTGTTCTGACCGGCGGGATTGTTTTTGGGTGACCTTTCCAGGGGCTGCCTGGGGTGTGTCTGCACCCAGCGGTTTTTAACCGCCTTGACCGCTCGTTGAGTCGCCGGCGTTATAGCGCGGGCTCTACTTTGAGTCCTACCGAAACCGGGGCTCCATTTTACAACGCTTTTATCAACTTGCATTAACTTGGATCCAGAAAATTTCAATGTTGTGTGTCCGACACCAAAGCAAAGCTTGGAAAAGTTCCTATAAAAAAGCATAGTGCATAGAGCGACAGCTGTAGTGAATAGGGCGAGGTAGATGACATCTAGATGTCGCCCTATGTACTACGTTTGCTACAGCGGAAATAGACGACACGCCATTTCTTTAAATAAAATTAATTGGTGCTCGTTTGTATGTACATACATATGTAAATGCATGTGTGTGCACCTTTCTATTAATATCGTTGAATTATTTTAATATCTATTGCAAAATTTTATTCAGACAGGACTAAAAAGTAGAAAATAAATAATATAAAAAAAAAAACTTTTTAATATACAACGCTTTTATAAATGGACTAAAAAGTAGAAAATAATACTTCTCAGTCCCATAGAATTTGTTTTGATAACTTTTGATTTTGAAATTTTAGCAAAAGTCATTATAAACAATCTATGAAATTGAAAATGAAAAGCGTGGGGCGCATGTAATACACTTGAATTGATATGAAAAGTAATATATGAATGTATGTATGTGGGTATATGAATAACGACCGCTTAAAATCGATTTCAAAGTTCTACTTTCGCTGTAGAAATTTTAGGTCTACGTTATGTAGTTTGACTATTGTCAATTAAATCGAATGCTTTGTATTGCATGCGCTCCACGTTTTTCATTTTCAATTTCATAGATTGTT